ACAGAGATCCGCCTGCCTCTGCCTCCCAAGTGCTGGGATTAAAGGTGTGCACCACCACGCCCGGCTGGACATCTTTTTTAAAGGGTTAAAAACTCATTCAGTGTTATATCTTACAGGGTTTATACTGAGCTCAATATTATATAACTGTATTAATTCAACTGTGAACCTAAAATTTTATAGCCACTTTTGAAAGAGATATGTCTTTGCTCTGGAAATTGTTATTGAATATGTTAAAGCTGTAATGAAATGCTTCTTCTAAAAAATAAAAAAAAATTAAAAAAACTTACAAATAAAAACATCACACAGCTAGATCAAAAAAAAAAAAAAAAAGTGAGGTTATTTTGAGGGTCCTAAGTGGCCCCTGACCTGTACTCTGTCCATGGTGAATGTTGTAACCTATGTTGTCATCACCCTAGAAGGGACTCCTAAAGCTGTGACTTGTATGTCAAGGTCTCACCTGTCAATGACCAGTTCCAGCAGCACAGCATGAGACAACTGTGTGAACTCAGGGTCACCTGGCACATGGTCATAGTGCTCCAGTAGGGCTACCATGTCGAGGTCACAAGCCATACGGTCAGGGAACTTCCAGGAGGGGAAGCGCACAGGCCCAGCACGGGAGAACACATCCACAATGGTACCCTGCAGGTCGGTGAGGTCCTTGTGTAGGCTGTCCATACAGGCCTGGCTGCCCAGTAGGTGTGCCATCCCCACAGCTCCTGGCAGAGAGGAATCCTGGTCAGCAAAAGTAACATGGCTATTGCTCGTAGAACCTTCCAAAATCCCTGACCTGCCTGGGTATTCCTCAGCCAAAATCTACCTCTGACCTTGGGGAGAAGTCTATTAGGTGATAAAGACTTTTAGGAGCTGGTTCTAGATGTCCTGGCCAGTCTCCCTCTTTTACTAACTCAACCCTTTGCCCATCCTGCTTCCAGAGAACCTATGTGCCCCAGGCCCCTTACTAAATGGGAAAAGGAATGAGTCTCCTTTTTCTTACTCAACCAAAACACAATCATAGTTTTAGCATGACAAGGAATGCTGGGACCATCTTCATCTTCCAGGCTACTGTCATCTGCATGGCTGCTTCAGGTTGGCCAACAGGCCTGCCTACTCCAGTCTGATCAACTTAAGCTCTAGATACATGTGCCAAACTCTCTGACCCTAGCAGGAAGACCAAAAATCCCTCCCACAGGGACTCCCCAAGCCACCTCTCACCACATCCCTCACCTCACAGTCCTCCACACATCCCATACTCTGCTTCTGCTATTAGCTGAGAGCAGTAGTCATGGGTCCCTCACACCCATTTCCAAATCCTTGTTCTCTGTCCTCTGTGGATCATGCCCCCATCCAATTCCCATCACCCAGCTTACTGTGCTCATCCTTCAGGGTTCCTGTATATCACCTCCTTCAGGAAGGCTTCCTGAGTGCTCTCCAGGCTGGGTTAGAACATTCATCTCAGCCCTAACCCCACCCTGCAAGAATGGTCTCCTCTGCAGACCTCTCAGTCCCTAAGGAGTTTCCAACCTGGCTATCACAGAGTCTTAGCCCACTGTAGATGCTTACTGACAAATGAATGAGTGAGTGACTGGATGGAGAAAAGAAAAGGAAATGCAAAGGAAATTAAAAACATGCCAACTTTTAGGGGAAACACGTCCTCAAGGGTCAAAAAGGAAAACCTGAAAACTTCTATCAAGTTCTCCTTACTCTGGTGGCATGGAGCCCTTTACATCTTGACACATAGCCCAGCCCTTCTGCACTTCATGGCCTCAGGCAAGTCATTACACCTCTCTGTCACTAGCTGCCTCAGCTATAACATGAGGACAATGACTCTAACCAGGTTTGAAGCCTCTAAAGAATCATGAGCAAAGTGCTTGATAGGACAAAGCACTAGTATAGGTAGCTGGCAGTGCCAATAACAAAGACCATCCTATCCTGAGCCTAGACCTAGCTCTCATTCTCCCCAGATCCCCTACAGAATGTTTCTTATCCATCTTCAGGAGCCTGTGGACAGTGCAAGACAGGCATTTGGGCAAGCAAGCCACAGCCTTCAGAAAGTAGAGAGTGACACTATTCAGGTCCCTCCTATGGCCCAGCCCCATCCAGGCAGAGCCAGCACTGTGATAGGTGAATGCTGAGCCTGGTCCAGCCTCCATCTTGCCAGTAGGGGAATCTGGGCCTTGCCAAACTCCCAGCAGCAGGAAGCACCTCCTTGTACCACCATATCCCCTCCCTGAAATGCTGGGGCTGCTTGGCAGTATTTGGCCTCAGCCCTTTTAACCCTGGGCACTCCAGGCCCATATGGGAAACGTCTCTTCTCCTAAACTTATTCTCCCCTAAACCTCTGTCATTTCAGAAAGTGGTACCTATTGATCACTCCACGACTTGACATGAACCTGGGGACTTTTTCAACTCCTTCTTTCCCCTAACCTACATCTAAGCACCCAAGTGCCAAGTCTACAGCCAGACCCCACTGAGCCAGCACTATTCCCCAGAGACACTGCTCCTGCCCTACCATTTTAAAGACTGATGCTAAAGCCTCCTGGAGTGGTTTCCATCTAAGCACCCAAGTGCCAAGTCTACAGCCAGACCCCACTGAGCCAGCACTATTCCCCAGAGACACTGCTCCTGCCCTACCATTTTAAAGACTGATGCTAAAGCCTCCTGGAGTGGTTTCCATCTAAGCACCCAAGTGCCAAGTCTACAGCCAGACCCCACTGAGCCAGCACTATTCCCCAGAGACACTGCTCCTGCCCTACCATTTTAAAGACTGATGCTAAAGCCTCCTGGAGTGGTTTCCATCTAAGCACCCAAGTGCCAAGTCTACAGCCAGACCCCACTGAGCCAGCACTATTCCCCAGAGACACTGCTCCTGCCCTACCATTTTAAAGACTGATGCTAAAGCCTCCTGGAGTGGTTTCTTACTTTCCCTTCTGCCTAGCTCTACCTTGTCCATTCTGCAGGGTAACTTACCCTGTTTCAAGACTGTCACAGCTCTATCTGCACTAAGGGCTAGTCTTAATGCATCCTGGTCTTGAAACCCTAGGATGTGCCACCTGTCCACACTTCCTCCAGGATAAGGCATTTACTTCTCTCAGGTCTTCACCCATAAGTCCCCTCCTCATTGTGGCCCTCCAAGTCCCCAGGCTGAGTGAGGTCCTATGTTACCTATCTGCAGGGTACCCTTTTTTGTCCCAGTGTACACCACCATTGGGATGAAATCACTACTTAGTTATCTGTGGTTAACAGTCTGTCTCCTTGTAAGCATGTGGACTGTCTCCTTTGAGCTCATTACTGCATGACCTGACCACCAAGTCTGAGACATGAGGGCCAGCCTGGGCCCAAAGGTCCTGGGAAACTCATAGGCACCAAGGGGTATTGCCAGAGTAGACTCTGGGTTTCCCAGAAGATTGGGCTCTACCCTTACCTCTCACAGATGTTTGCCCATGAAGCTGAAGTGACTGATTATGTCCAGCTCTTGGACTATACTGTGGGGTCTGGTGCTCATGCAGGTATCTGGCTTCCGGGCTTCTGTCCTCCTGGCTCTGGTACAGGGCTGGCCACAAGCGGCCCTCCCATCCCTAGGAATGGATGCAGGTGAGTGAACACACAGTCAGGCAGGGCTTCCTAAGGGACTGAGTGGGATCTGTCTGTGAGAAAGGAGGTGTTGGGGAGTAGAGAGATTGCTCAGCAGCTAAGAGTACTGGCTGCTCTTAAAGAGGACCCAGGTTCGGTTTCCAACACCTATATGGTGGCTCACATCTGTCCGTGAGTCCAGTTCCAGGGGATCTGACACCCATTTCTGGACTCCACAGGCATTGCAGGACATGGGGCACTTATATACATGCAGGAAAAATTAAATTAAATTAAAAATTAACAAATAAATTTGCCCAAAAAAAGAGGAGGAGGAAGAGGAGGACGAGGAGGAAGAGGTATCCCAGGCCAGAGAAATGGGATGAAGAAAAGTAGGGATGCATGCCTTGAGGCTGGGCACAGTGGGCATGTTTCATAGTGATGTTTCAGTAGTGTTCGCTTGAACCAAAGGACCTAGGATGTGCCATTTCCCCAGTTAGCCCAAGTCACCCAGGGATTCGAGATTTTATTTATTTATTTATTTTGGTCTTTTTGAGACAGGGTCTCCCTGTAGCAGCAGCTGACCTGGAACTCACTATGTAGACAGACTGGTCTTGAAGTCACAGAGATCCATCTGCCTCTGCCTCCCCAGTGTTGGGAGGGATTTGAGATTCTTAATCTAACGTATTGTTCTATCTTAGGCCTGCTGCTTCTAGAACATCAGTGTCCAAAAGCAATAATGCAAGGGCATGCGTGGGATTTTAGATTTTATGATAGCCACTGATGAGGTGCAGGAACACTATATCAAAGTATGGCCTCTTGGAGACTGAGGAAACAGCAGAAGAACAGAGGTCACTTTCCCTTTCCCCTTATCCTTCTTTTCTGAAATAGGCCATAAAACTTAGGAAAGTTACTCTCTGACCTCCTTCCTTCTCCTCTGAAGACCTCATGTGATGGGCATCCTACCCTAAATCTCCTTGGGAAGGAATGTCACACAAGAATGATAAGAAAAATCTAGGGCTGACAAGATGGCTTAGTAGGTAAAGAGCTTGTCACACAAGCCTGATGAATCCACACGGTACAAGAAAAGAACAATTCACAAAAGTTGTCCTCTGACCTACACACACACACACACACACACACACACACACACACACACACACATATACACACACACACGATAACAAGTAAAATTTTAAAAAGGGAAAAAATTTGAACAATCCACTATGGTTTGATTATGACGTGTCCCCCATAGGCTTGTGTACTGGGGGCTTGGTTGCCAGTTGATGAGCTTTGGGGAACCCTCAGGATCTGGTTCTGATGTAGTCAATGGATTAATCCCCTGATGGATAAATGATATGTCATTATTGGGAAATAGTAGAAAGTAGGAGGTGGGGCCTAGTTGGAGGAAGTAGGTCACTGGAGGTATGTCCTGAGGGGTTCTGTCTGCCACCACGTTCTTCTTCTCTACTGGCCCAAAATCAACAAGGTCTTAAATCTCTGAACTAGGAGCCAACATCAATATTTCCTCTTTTAAGCAATAAGAAGCCTTGCTATGCTTTCCCTCTCTTTATTACTATTAGATCATACGTTTTGGTTCTCTAATTGTACTTAAATTAAAAAAAATTTACATGTATGAGTGTTTTGCCTGCATGTAAGTGCATCCATTCCATGTGTGCAATGTCTGTGGAGGCCAGAAGAGGGCATCAGATCCCTAGAACTGGAGTTACAAACTGTAAGAGCAGCCAGTGGTATTAACTTCTAAGCCATCTTTCCCCCCTCTTCCAATTATACTTTTTGTACAACTGTCCATAAAAATACACAAATTTCCTGGTTTCTTTTGAGTCTTCATTTCTGAAAGCTCTCAAATCATGAAAATGTTTTATTAAATAAATGTGTATGTTTTTCTTTCATCTGTCTTATGTTTTAGGGACCTCAGACATGAACCTTGTGATGGGTGAGTTAAAATATTACTTTTCCTCAAATAAACATCAAAAAGAGTAAAAAGAAACAGGTAAACAATTTTGATAACATTTAATTTAACCCAATATACTCAAAACTTTATTTCAACATGAACTCGATATAAAATTAAGATTTTTAAAAAACTTTTCAGACAGAGTCTCATGTATCCCAGGCTGGCATTGAACTTGAGGAAAATGACCTTGAATGATTCTCCTGCTTCTACCTCCCATGTTCTATAATTATAGCGTCGTACCTACCATGCCCCTGTCTATGTGGTGTTAGGGCTTTATGCATGTTAGGGAGGCACTCTACTGGCTGAGCCCCCAGGCCTTTAAACTTTTATTTATGTTTTATTAAATCATGCAGGGTAGGGCACACCTATAATCCTACCACTCAGAAAGCTGAGGCAGCCAGGTGTGGTGGCGCACACCTTTGGTCCTAGCACTTGGGAGGCTGAGGCAGGCGGATCTCTGTAAGTTCGAGGCCAGCCTGGTCTACATAGTGACATAGTGAGTTCCAGGCCAGCTGGAGCTACAGGGAGACCTTGTCTCAAAAAGACACAGAGAGAGAGAGAGAGAGAGAGAGAGAGAGAGAGAAGAAAAGCAAGCTGATGCAGGAGTGCTGCAAGTTCAAGGCCACCCTGGGCTACAAAGTAAAACCCTGGAAGTGGGAGGGAGAGGGAGAGGGAGAGGGAGAGGGAGAAGGAAGGAGAAGAGGGAGAGGGAGGGGGAGGGGAGGACAGAGAAAAAGAGAGAGAGAAAAACTGAAACCATTATGTCTGTTTTCCTGAAAGCAGTATTACCCCCATAATACTCATAAACACATGAATACATCTAAGTCATGCTTCCCATGTGTTGACTTGGCAACTACCTCTTGTGAGATATTGCTGCCCAAGAGATTTTATGTCCCCAGAGAATGAAGTGGAGACAAAGAGAAAAAATAAAGCAAAAAACAAAATGAAACTTTCTGGATTTCTTTCCTGGAAAGGACATGAAGGAAATGAAGCAAGAAGCCCCAACCTGGGAAGCAGCAGCACATGCAGGAGGCAAAGCAGCTGAAACTCGACCAAAAAAAAAAAAAAAATTGATCTGCTCACTGGGGCCATTTTGGATACCAATTCCTGTAACATTCTGGTTCTGATAAGCAGCAAATGTCAACACATCAAGAATATCCAAGTTAGGCTATGGTTATGACTTGGTAATAGAGCACTTGCCTAACATATATGAGGCCCTGGGGCAATCGCCAGCACTGCAAATACACACATACACACACAGAATATCCATAGTTACCTTAGGTTGATATTTCTGAAAAACTATGCATCTGCACTTAGAAGTGCATCAAGTGAAAGAGCTTTCTCTGTAATCCCTGGGTCTTAAGTGGAAGCTACCAGCTCTGAACTGTGCCTTGTGACTACACAGGTGATGGCTCTAACTGAGCCAACATTGTCCTTATAGGGGCAGCAGTAATTCTGTTCCAGGACTTTTGACTCCCAGAGAAGAAGGGAAGGATCCTTTCCTTCACTCCAATTCAACATTCAAGTCTTCCTCTCTCAAACAACTAGCACTTGACTCTATCGTGAGGATTATGCTTACCTACCAGTCAGTGTGCCCACTGAGATGCAGTCACCAACAGAAAAACAGTTCTGAAACTCTAATACACCTACATGGCAGTGGCCAATCTCTGACCATAGATATTGTCGGGATCCCTTGGACATGAAAATGATCCAGTGAAGACATAGGAATAATCATCAGCTCTAGTAGAGAAAACTGATCTAAAAAATGAGCTTCCCTGTCCTTGCCAGCACGATAGCTTGCCATAAGGAGTAAATGATGTAACAGGTAGTGTTTGACATAGATTCTGGCTTGCAGTAAGTAAACATTCAACAAATCCTAGCTGTCATTATTCTTCATTAATAATAACAATGAAATAAACCAACTACAGTGGGTGGAGAGGGAGAGATAGGGAAGGGTCTTGGAAAGTAAAACTTAACTATTGCCGGCCTCGTGGCACTCGCCTTTAATCCCAGCACTTGGAAGGCAGAGGCAAGTGAATCTTTGTGAGTTTGAGGCCAGCCTGGTCTACATAGTGAGTTCCCAGGACAGCGGGGGCTACAAAGAGACCCTGTCTCAAAAAGACAAAGAAAAAACAAACAAAAAACAACTTACTATCGCTGTCCCATTTCGCAGGTAAAGTCCCCCAAGAACTGGGTTTAGAGTCAGTTCCCCGTAATCTGGAGTTGGGAAGAGGAGAGGGGACAGGGACTAGAAGATCTCGGGACAGAGAAAAGCGGGCTGTGGGGGATGTGCCTCTGGGAAGCGAGGGGATTGGTCTGCAGGACTGCACCTGTGGGCGTTAGAAGTGGCACAGCTAAGATTTGAGGATGTCGGGTGAGGCTTGAGGACCGAGCTATGGAAGTTAAGGGTGCAACCTAGAAAAGACAGGCCCACCGGAAAAGACCCATAAGAATAAACGGTGTGGGGCCTGTAAGGCAGAATCAGGAGATGGTTCCGAAGCGAAAAACGGCGGGGATTGGGGGGCCGGGAGGGGGAAGGGGGGCACCGGAACTTGAAAGTCGGGGTCGCAGGGAGCGAGGGACTGGCTAGGGTCTCGAGGTGAGTTCGACAATGCAGAATGGCTCACTTGTCTCCGGCGTCGCAGCCTCAGCTTTGGTATCTGGTCGGCTCCCAGAACGTCCCCCTGGAGCACCCGCGGCCCCTGGGATGCCTGAACACCCTTAGGTGGGCGTCCGTGCCGCTGCCAAGGCAACTGTGTAGCGTACCGCCTTGTTCTAGGGAGGGGCGGGAAGTACGCGAGGCTAGAGGGAGGGACCGGAAGTGCGTCAGCCTCGCCTCCACGGCGACTCGCTGGGCCGTCGCCATCTTGCTGTCTCGTCGTAGAGTCGGTGTGGGGAGGTTATCCTTGACGGAGCCCCGGTTGTCTACCCCGAGGCGGACTGGCTGCCGGGAGTGTCGCAGTCATGCCGGCCGGACCCGTGCAGGCGGTGCCCCCGCCACCGCCAGTAGCCACTGAGCCCAAACAGGTACTGCGTTCCCCGCACCGCAGCCTGCAGCCCGAGCCTAGGCCTTGTCCCTCCCCTCGCGCGCGGGCGCTCCTGTCCTCCAGCAGGAAACAGCGGCCGCCCTCCTGGACAGCCCGGAGGGACTGCAAGTCCCAGGAGGCTGGGCGAGAGCGCTGCGCTGCCTTCTGGTCGCAAAAAGCCCTCTAGAGCAGTAGTTCTCTGAGTAGCCAGCGGACTAGTAGTGCGGGCATCACCTGAGAATGCATTAGAAATAGGAAGTCTTCAGACCTTCGAAGTAGGAATCTGCGTTTTAACAAAATCTCAGTGTGATTTATGGAAGTGAGAGAAGCATTGGGCCAGCCTATACACCAGTTTTGGCAGTTGGGCCTACCGGCCTTCGCCTAGTACTAATTTCCAAGCTTGCACTGTATATTTTATGGATATTCTTAGGACCTGCTAGGTGCTTACCCTAATCCAGACAAGGAGCCATTCTCCCAACATTAACAGCATGAATGAGGCATAACCCCTGCCTTCTGAGATCTCTTAGACGAGTTGGAAGATAGACATACATGAATACTCAGTGTTTGTCTAGATCGGTGTAAATGATAAAAGTGCCAGCCAACCTTTAAAAAACTTTCAAAGCTGGGCAGTTGTCACATCTGTAATCCTAGAGAGTTTGGATTATGCGGCTCATGAGTTGGAGGCCAACCTGGGTTACATAGTGAGACCCCCGCAAAGCTTTCAAACAACTGAGGAGGAATGATGTCCGTAAATAACTGCAGTACAATTGACTATAAATGAGCCAGTAATATAATCAGTACTGCTGGAGTAGAGGAATAGATGCTGGTAAGGGAAATCCACAGGTGTTAGAAGTTGTATTTTGTTTTGTTTGAGACAGCATCTCAACTTTGTATCCCTGCCTCACTGTGTAGCTCATTCTGGCCTCAAACTCAGAGATCTGCCTGCCTCTGCCTCCTGAGTCCTGGGACTCAAGACATGAACCGCCACAGTTATAAATTGCTTTTTTGGGAGGATGAATAGGAGTTTACCAGAAGAGCGATGGGGGAAAGGGAACTTTTTTTTGGTGTGTGTGTGGGGATTTTTTATTCACTCAGCATATGTGTGTGTGTATATATATATATATATATATATATATTGAAACACATACTATATGCTTATCAATGCTTTGGGTTCTGAATACAACATGGAACATGACAAATGAGGCCCATACCCTTTCTCCAAATAATTATGTGCCTGTGTGTATTTCTGGCATATTCCTAAGCAGTGGGAAAAAACAGTCATGGTTATACCAGACAATAATAAGTACAAAACCAAAGTAAGGATCAGATGGTGCCTCTCTGGTCAAGGGCACATGAGCAAGTGTGGTACGAATACACATTTGGCATAATGGTAACAGGAGATGTAATTCTTAGGATTTTAATGTGTCTGAACACAGTAGGAAGTATTTTAAACTGGATAGTGACATTTGTGTATCAAAAACTCAGGCAGACAGTTGTTGGGAAGAATTGAGAGGAGGATAAGAAACAATGATCCTGTTCAAGAGATGTTGAGGGTCTGATTTAGATTAGGGCAAGAGGCATGGCCAGGTGCTTATAACAGAATGACTGGTGCCACAGGCTCTCCAGCCAAAGTGATTCAGCCTGAGGGACATCAGCGTGCGTTTCCTCAGTTCTGTCATATGTAGTAGTACGCCTCATAGGGCTGTTGTCAGGGTGGTAAGAATTAATACATTTAAGGTTTCTGGGATGTACTTTATGTTTAATCAGTGTTACTGAGCAAAGACCGAGGAAGGATGAGGGGGAGTCTAGATTTCTGGCTTGTGACTGGAAAGCCAGTCATAGAGATGAAAGTGCCCAGGACTCTGCTGGGCCCAAAGCTCTGTGATATTATCTAGGAAATTGGTTTGGCTGGGATTTTTTTCAGCCTAAATTGGAGAAGGGGAGTGGAGAACATAGTTGTCAAGGACAACTGAGGACAGTGTGAATACTATGAAGAGAGCACAAAACTTTTTCAGGGGCCTCCAACATTATAGGGAAGAGGTGAAATGGAAGTCAGAAATGGAGACTAGGTTGTAATGGTAGGCAACTATGGCTGTAATTGGCTCTAGGTAGTTGTTTTTGACTTGGACAAGAACACTTGAAAAGAAACCAAGTAGGAGATGAGGGAGTAAGGATGTTCAGCCAGAGGAAGAAGCAGGAGAAACAGCAGCAGAAAACTTCATTGAAGGCAGGGAAGAGACCATATTTTTCTAAAGTGATAGACTCAACTGAGAGGAAGAAGCTGCTAGATAAAGGATATGGGAACTTACTGGGCCATTGATGTTGCATTTTCCAGTGAAGTGTCACAAAATATTTTTGTGTTGAATAGTGGCTAGGATTATGGAATGGATGTATAGGAAAAGGGAAGTTAAGGCAGAAAGCTACCAGCTAGAAGTTCCTGAATCTGACCTACCTCTACCTATCTACCTTCCTTCCTACCTACCTCCCCCATGCTCATGTTTCTTGACAGTCATTAAGTATTCCATGCCAGGCACAGTGCTGGGTGCAGAGGTAAAGACACGGCCTTCCAGATTCTGGAATATGGTTTCTTAGATTTTAGTCAACATCCTTGGGTCTAAATTACATGGGCCCTTGGTAAAAATGCTGATTTGGGGACTGTGGATGTAGTTGAGTGGTAGTATGCTTAGTTAGTATGTGTGAGGCCTGAATGTAATCCCACGCCTAGCACTGAAACAACTGTAGCTATCTGGTTTTATTGGACAGTATCTAGAGGAGCCAAGGAAGCTATTCTTTTCCCTGGTTCCTAGAAATGACCCAGGCAAGCACTATGCAGTTAGGAGAACCACATTTTTGTACTCTTTCTGGTACCCAAGGAAGCTTGCAGGACAAAGCCTATGCTCTCAGTGGTATCCTGAAGGAATGTTTGAGGAGTAGAGTAGGGACTTGAAGACCTTACTTCTTTTCCTGTTTTCACAGCCAGTTGAAGAAGAACCGTCTTCAAAGGAGGATTCCACCCCTTCAAAGCCAGTGGTGGGGATTATTTACCCTCCTCCAGAAGTCAGGAATATTGTTGACAAGACTGCCAGCTTTGTGGCCAGGTAACGTAACTGCTTCTACACAGTGGGTCAGGGAAGATTGTAGTATGAAGGGCTCCTGAAACAGCACAAGGTCAGCCTAGACTTTAGACCTTGGCTTAGGCCTGCTAGTTCTTCCAGAACCACAGTAGGACAATTAGGTAGAAAATAAACAGGACTGGTATTGTTGACATACCACACCAGTAACCACAGCGAGAGCCATACCCCAGCTGTATAGTCATCAGGAGCCTCTGCTTCTAAAACAAGCCAGAGGACATTTCTGGAGAGCTATTTTGTAACAGACATATGTGCATGCATACTCTTCCCTGTTTGAGCTGCTGGCCTAAGGAAAATAAAAGGGGAAGTTGATTATTTTCATTATGTAAGTACTACTTTTCACAGAGTCTCACATGACCATTACAAAATTGAGTAAAATGCTAACTTGTTGCCAGGTTGTCAGTGAGGCAAGAGTAAGCTGATAAGGCTTAATCCAATTTAGATACGACATGCAAGTGCTAGTTGTCTTCCCAGATGGGATGAAAATTGGTCAGCATTCCTTCCAGCTTCCCCATCCTATTTAGGGGTACATCCTTAGAATCTTCTTGAGGGCCACTTGACTCCAAAGATCAACATATCCCTTGGCATAGGGCATTTATAAAGTATTCTTTTGGCAGCCAGCAGACTATAACTAGTTGACAGATGTTTTGTCTGTCCTTAGAATATTTTTTAAACTAAAAAGGTGATTTCCCAATAAATGTGGATTTATGGATACTCTTGAGGAACTAAACTGCGTTGCTTACATGGCTTTAGTAGCTGGCTCTAAGCAGAGTGTACAGGAGTAGGTGCTGTCTGGGGCCTGCACCTTGACAGTCATTCCCTTGAGCAGCTCTACCAGCTTGTATCATTTAATAAATATTCCTTTCCCAGCTTCCTAATACAATGAAGCATTGAAAAAGACTATGTTGGTTGATGTCTTTCATAGTGTCTACTCTATAGGAGTTCATCTCAATTTAAGGGCCTGCTAGCTTACCTTCCCTCCCCCTCTCTCTCCCTCCCCTCCCTCCCTCCCTTCCACCTTCCTTCCTTCCCTTCCATCTTCTCTCCCTCCCTTCTTCCCTCCCTTCCTTTTCAGGTCTTACTATGTAGACAAGATTGGCCCTGATCTCATAGAGATCTGCTTCCCAAGTGTGGGGATTAAAGGTGTGCGCTACCCAGCGGAAGGCCTTAATTAGCCTGGATTTTCAGCTGTAAGCTGCTCTATGATTAGGGCAGTTTGGGTGTTGTGTTTAACTGGTTAATGTTTCATAGCAACTCTTATGCCTTCCCCTTTCTGAAATGATAGTAAATATGAAAGGAATGTTAACAGAATTGGTCCAATTTTACTATCGGAATAATCTGTGCCATCTGTTTTCACTTTTCCTGTTTGTTTCTGACCTTGGGCATCCTTTCCAGAGCACTGTAATACTAGCAGAAATGCTGTCATATCTCACTTTTCCCTTCTATAGTAAACTGTAAACATTTCCCCACATTATGTGATCCCCCTCATGCTGCACGTCTGCTTTTGAGAGGATGCATGATGTCCAGGCTATGGGCCCCCGTTAATTTAGCCATCTTCTCTGTTACCTTTGCTATTGTTTCCAGCGTTTCCACTTGGCCAATGACACAGTAAAGGGAGTTTGAGCATTTTCTTTCCCTTTTAGATTATTTCCTTAGAAGTAAAGTGCCTTGTACACAACCATAAGGATCTGAGTTCAGATCCCTAGCACCATATAAGAGCCAGGCATTATGACAGTCCCTGCATCTGTAACCCCAGTGCTGA